CAAATGTATTGGGCCGTTTGGCCTATATAACCTCGTGATTTTGACGATTTGGAGGTGTAGATTACGCCAAACAACTCAATATTTTTTAAGGTCACTTTTTTATCGACATTTTGCTCAAGTTATCTTACGAATCAAGTGGTGTTCTACGAGTTTTTAGTACCTAATTAAATTTTAAAAGTTTGCCGACCTCCAGATTGAAAACGTCCCAATTCCGAGAATTTGCGTAAATATAAAATTGGTTGGTTACGATGAGATGAAGCTATTTACGAAGTTCCAACAGAATGTTAATAATTTGATATATAAGGGTCTGTACCACGGCTAATATAAAATATTAAAAAATTGATTATGCTAGGTTCTGGAATCAGATGAGTCATTAACAAAACAATAATTTGCTCAACCTAGACAATTATGAACAAACGTGAACAACTAAACAAATATTCTTGAAGAACGTGAGAAGAAGGGGATGAGAACAATTATATATATATTAAAATAGTTCCTGTTATTCCTTCGTAAGGTGTGCCCGATCCAACACAATCTCCTTAGCCTATAACACAATATCACCTATTTTTCTCAGTTTGGTACTTTTCAGTAGCCTATTCTTAAAGTCCTTTAAAAAATTTACGAAAACCTCTGGTACTCCATAGACTGGTTCAGAATTATTATCTTAGTAAGTCTATGCAGAAAATATTGCGTGTTAAACCGTGCTGCTGTCTTCTAAGATATTTTTTAACCTCGGCCTGAACTCACCTGAGCATAATCCTGGAGAGGACCTTGTGTTTTTATCTCCCGAGCTGTTTCTGGAGTATCTTCCAAGCACCAATCTTCGCCCCTCTGACTTAATAAGTCGTCAAAAAATGATTCCTCCTGTACTTACCTCGTTGAATGCTTACCTGAGTCAGATTTCGCCCACCTCGCTCTTGACCACCTTCTTTATTCTCCTATTTTTACCAACGTGCCCATTTGTCATCCGGTAGAGTTGTTTAGGATTATTGCTCCCGTTGTCTCTACTCTGTATGCCATCATGAAAACACTATGTAGTCTCACTTTCTTCATCACTTTATTCTTATAGGAGTAGCCAGCTGTGGGATATTTTATTTTCATAGTATTGTTTATTTCCTACTCCAGTCCCCTGCGTACTTTTAAAAGGACTCGTCTATTCTGACGACGATTCCTTTCTCGCTCTGTTTTTGATGGGAACGAAGAGAGAGCTGATTCATTTGGCTGGTGAAAAAAATAATTTTTTATCATGAAATGTAAATAAATGAAAAGAGCATATTAGGAAGTAATCATTCGAGAGGCGTGTCGCTGATTTTGAAGCTCGTAATAAGCAAAAGTCTAAATTGCCAATACCAAAGCGTCGGTTTTTTTCCTTTCTGTGTTTGTTTGATTGTTATACTGTATCTTAGAAGTACATCTATTATTAGAACCCGAATCTCTCAAGTAGCACAAAAATGTAGCAAATCCAGACACAATTAGGAATAAAAAAAACATAAGAATACCAGAAACAGCACAATTTAAAACAGTTTAAAATCATAAACAAAATTGAGTTAGTATTTGGTTAATTCACTATCTCTCTTTACTTTAAACATTTTTAGCTTGTATTTTTTAGAAGTTAATGTGCTACACTTAGTCGAAATTTATCTGATCTTATGTTTTCAGGGTTAATTAATTCACTGATTGCTTGAATAGCAATGTTTATGATTTTTTAAACATTATGTATTGATAAATACCTTTTTTTTGTCATTTTAAGACAAAATTTATTAAATTGGGCCTAGAGGCAAAAAGTAAGAAGAGGATAATTAATGAAAAAAAGTTCCAAACTAGAAACTGATAAATGAAAATATATGTATTTACATAGTCAATAAATTCAAACTACAGTAATGTGATGTCAATAATCTATCCATAAACTCGCACAACACGTCCCGAATGGTCGATATACACCGAATAAAGTGGAATTTGAAATGAAATTGTTTGACCAAGAGCTTAAAAGCAAGCAGCGTTACCCTCTTACCATATTTTAATAATATATGCCATCGGGTGGATCTAATCGGACCGCACACTGAATACTTAAAGAGGAAGGAAAGAGGTAGGGCAGGAGGAGCTAGCTGGTGGTAGGAAGGAAAAACCCTTTTCACAGGATGCTTTCCTTTCGGCTAATTGGAATCAGCTTTCCACCGTCCTTGTTAGGGCGGTCCATTCATCCTTCTTTTTATCACTTGGTTTTATTCATTAACAGGTAAATCTTCTATCCTACATTCTTTAAGGTATCAATCATAGGTGCAGACTTTCCATTCTGGTTAGGGGGACTGTTCCATCGCGAATCCCAAACCTCTAAAAAAAATGTACTTTAAATATGGTTTAGGATCAAATTATACTTCAAAAGTCCATTTTGGAATTAAATACAAGTTGTATGGAGTTTGGTGTGTTTAGATAAAATGGTGTATAATTTGAAGGGTTGTTAAAAGTGTACTATAAAAATTTATATTTCTGTTTACAATATTTGTTATTACAATAATAAGAAAGGAGACGGTAAACTATTTAACTATTTTTAACATTTTTTTTGGTACATTTTAGAACTAATTAAACATCGAAGTGCATTTTCGATAAAAAAAAAAAAAAAAAAAAAAATAGCTGATTAGGATTTATAGGAGAGAAGAAAAAAAATCGGTCCAGTAGTTTCGGAGAAAATGGGCGGACGGCGGACGGACAAAAAAAATTTTATTCGTTTTTCGAAGTCTACGTATCCTGAAACGTAAAACCTCAAATTTTGAGAGGGGTTAAGTTTTTGAATTTTTCGGTCGATCACAATGGTTGATTATTGAAAATAATAAAACAAAATGGCGTGTAATTCGGAAAGAATAAATCGTATTATAAAAAATTAACTTTTTTTACAATCATGGATTAGCATAAAATTTCTTAGCAATAAAATTAATTTATTTTTAATTTTCATTTGAATAAAAAAGTTATTGTTGAATTATTTTTTAAAGAAATGCAAGTTCCATTACATTCCTTTAAAAAAAAAGTTTTCAGAAATAAACTTATTTTCACATCACGTTTTTATAATAATATTTAGGTTCTTAAAAAAATAAATACATACACAACAGTTGAAAATGTTTATAAAATATTGCAAGAAATTTAAACTGATTATATTTTCGTGAAAAATCATCTGTCTTTTTAAACACTGAACAGTATATCTGTTCAGGAGCTAAATAGTATTATTAGCAGGTATAAAATTATCCCTGATTCGATAGGTAAGAAGTTTTAAGTCGTTTTATAAGAAGATTGGGCTTGTCCTACCACTGAGTTGTAAAAGTGCACTCCACATAAGAGCCACCATTCTTCTAGCAAGGCCCTCGATTTAATCAGCCCGGAAGGCAATATAAATGCAATACTAAATCTCGCTTTAGAGAGAAAAGGCTTTAATATGAGGGAGAATACAAGGCTGAAGACACAAGTAACAGCTGGTACAAGCGAAATGTGCAAATAAATGCGGTCGGGTTTGTGCTAATGCTGCCTCCCGCTACAGCAGGCCGGTAAGCACCTGTTACTTCCCTACATCCTCTCATTTTGTCGGCTGCATCGGAAGGACCATTGAATGTCCAGTAACCTAATAAAGGTTAGGAAGGGTTCATATTGTGGGTAGGAAACGATGACAACCTCTTGATTACTTTCCGGAGTTGACAAAAAAAGATAAAAAGATTGGCAAAAACTGTTAGCAATTTATTGATCTATCTTTTGTGACTCTTTCCTCTTCTAGTTAATAGTCTTATTCATAGATTTTTTTCAAGTTATACTCCGTTTATATTGTAAGAAAACAATTAATTAATTGTTAATTTCATTAATAATATTTTACTACTTTGAAATATTTACCTTGTTTTGTCAAGAAATAATCCACGAAGTGGTCTATCACTCGAGATCGAATAGTCTTTGTCAACGTTAAGTCCTCGTTACGTACTCTTACATGTATACGAACCTGCATTGTAATCTTGAGCTAAACGTCGCAATTTTTTATTTATATGTTTATTTTAATAATCTTGACCAAACCTTGAATTTATGGTTTGTTTTTAATAAAATAACCCTAATCCTCTTTAGCCTATGATTGTATGTTTAGTGTATTATTTTTTTCATTTTTGTTTTTGAATTGGCTAAAACTATTCTTTGAAAGAAATTTAAAGATTAAACGGAGTATTTTTTTTAGGGTATTGTAGCTCCCCCGGACGATAAGAAACAGGAGAAACTAATATCTTACATTTAAAATATTAACGGTGTAATACAGTTGGCAATGTGTTGGACATAACTCGGCTCGCAGAGTCTTTTCGAAGTTTTTTTTTCCACGTTAAAGGGTAGACCGTAGAAATAAAATAAATAAATGATAGGTTTAACTTTTCCCGTAGCAGGATCCGGCCAGGTTTTATTGCGGCTTCCGTCTCCTTCATAAATTGTTGATGGAAGGGCCGGGTTCTGTCCTCAGTGAATAATACATCGGGTCTCGCGGGATCCGGCGTCTTAGATTGTGCACAGCAACTGCAGCCCGCTGTCCAAGATTTATTTCTATCGGCTGTACGAGGCCGAAGGTACTTCCACATTATCTGCAATATAATTAATCTCTTATTCATATTATAGAACGTACTCTCAGCGAAGTTAATGTATTGTATCGTACTATGTTCATTATACACATTTGTACTATCTACAATATAAACTTTTGGAAACATCGTTACCGAAGCTTCGGGTGAAGATGCTGCTTGTAATTTTGTTTGTTTGTTTTTATATAGTTATAGAGTGATTGTATCCATCATATTCGGTATATTGTTATTAATAATGGCTAGCTACAATAATTTTATTAAATGCCTCAAATAAAACCACGACACTTTTATTTATGTATTCCTGGCTTATTTGCCTTTCGGCAACAGGGATGACATATCACAATCGTGTGTAACATCCCTGCGATTAAACATAATATGTTTTAATAATTGTTATAAAACTGCAGTTTTTAGTAATCTGTCTGTTGGCCTTCCAGGAGCAGGTCTTCTTTTCAGATTGGGATGTGCCGGCCCCAGAGCAGCTTTCCACCCGTACACAAAATCTTTGTAATATGGGTAGTTCTGTTACGACACTAGTTGAGAAATATCATTCTCCGTAAGGACATAGCGTCCGGTTTTCTTCGCCATTCTGACCCTTAGCCCAGCAAAGAAACAAAGTTGACTATGACGTTCTCAGCCATCTCCAGTACTCCGCAAGTTGAGCATAGGGGATCTATGTCTTTTCCAAGGCTAAGCAACTTAGCATGGAAACTCCGATGCTCTGAAAAAAAAAACTCGACACCATAGGACCTACATTTCTTTCCTCTGAACCACTACGCACGATCGGTACAAATTGCCTCTAGTCTCACATTTGTGGGGCAGGATCTCGATAAGATACCTCACCTATCCAAAGTCTTACCACGATCGACGTTGCTCACATTTGATCACCTATAAACACCTTAGCTCGTTATACAAATATCAATGAAGGTTGGTAACAAATTCAATTCGAATAAATGTTGCTTCCTCACTGCCAGAGGTAGGGAAGCTTTGCATTTTAATAGCCTTTAGTCAATTGTTTACTGCAAAGAGCCATTAGTATAATCTCTTCTTTTATTTATTGAAAGGTTAACCATTCTGAATGAGACCCATGCTAGAATATTTTTTTTCACATAAAAGCAATACTGTTGCTTCACTTTAAAAATAAAAATAAAAAAACATACTTTATATCATGGTCACTGTGTGTGATACTGTAATTGATGTGGAGTTCATCGGTTTGGCAAATGAATATTTATAGATGATTGGCGAAATCGCTATCTCGCAACTTACAATACGATAATGTTGGTTGTCAATAATTGGCACCTCACTATTTCTGCCAGCTGTTATAAACCTCGTAGTCCTAATCAAGTTTAAATTTCCTTATTGATGTGTTAATAACCTTAACTCATTCTTTTATTTTAGATATTCCATATCTAAACAAACCCATACGGACATGACTAGGAAACTTTAATAATGACTCATTTGATGGATTCGACTGGTACAAAAAGAAGCAAGTCTCTATGCCTTAGCCTCAACTTACAAGTAAGCTTTTTTTTTTTTTTTTCATTAACGGTGTCTAGACTAAAAATATACCTTCCCTTTTATGTAAATGACCTCCGAGTCAAAAACAAATCTTGATTGATTAAATTTCAATTTCAGGCTGTTTCGAACACGAGATTAGTTAGAATTTGTCGTCAGGCTTTCATCAATCGACTATAATGCTCCCAACTCCCCAATTACTTTTGTTTTAAAACATAATCTGGAATTTTAAATAATAACAGAGAGCTTTGTTGATTTCTTGGAAAGAAAACCTATTCAGTACTTTTGATAAGTGATAGCCTTTATTTTTTATTTTTACTTCTTTGAACCTTAAAGTTCATCCGTTCTTCATTTCTCTGTCTTCCATATAGAATCCTTCGATAATACTAATAATCATAAGTCTTAGAATTTATCTGAACTTTAATAAAGTTTTTTTTTTTTCTATTGGCTTTTGAGACTTTCTAAATGCTTGACCACCTGAACCAGCCTTCTCCATCTGTTAGATTATATTCGGTTTTTGGCATCTCGCCATTTATCGAGGCATTCGTCATTGTGTAGAGTATTCCTGATGAATTGCTACCAGCTACTTATAAAACCTATCTTAATTTTTCACTTCATTTCATGAAATATTGATTGGCCGGTTTCTGTAAACAGTTCTTTGTTGATCTTTCTTCTTTATGTGTTAGTACTCTCATTCCATTTCGCTTTAAGGATTTATACATTTTGTCATAACATTCTAATTAAACTCGGTCAATGTATCCTTCAAATCATTACATCAGGTAAATTTGATTTCTCCAGGTATCAGAAAATGATTCCGAGGCTGAAAACCTGTTCGTAGGCGATCTGACAAATAGGACCCTAAAAACTAAAGGTGCTGACCGGCGAAGGTGGTTGGTGTTGACTATCTACGGCTTAGCAGCCGTCGCTCAGGTAAGGTGAGTTGGTATTTCATTTTTTTCATTCAGGTTTGATTCCCTGAGAAAACATTAAATGAAGAAAATTATTATTTTATTAAATAATAATTAAATTAATAAGTTAATTTAATTCTTTTGGAATAGTTTATCTAGTGCTTTTACTGTTCTATGCGATACACAGCTGACAGAATTGCATAATTAGCACAACAAAATAAAATAATTTCAAGTTGTGATTAACTTCTATCAGTTGGACCGCTGCTATGTAACTTTTCCTAACCGAACCGAATGAAAGAAGAAACCGAAATTTTTACATTTTCGCTGCTTTGGAGCAGTGTTTATTTATTCTGAAAACATGTTTTTTAGGTTAGGATATGGGTACTTTCAGGAAAGACAAAACAAACTAACGTCGCCAGTTTGAAACCGACCTCGGCGTATTGAAATTTATTCCGTGGTAGATCTACGGACCTTCCAGCTCTTTTTAGAATAGCCTCTAGAATACTTGTACACAGCACCGCGTTGCCCCGCAACCTGATGAAAAATAATTTGATCAAATAATAACAAGATCGTCCCTTTGCCGGAGAGAGGGAGGCTTTAATTCTGGTATTAATCCTCCGCCGTCGTCCCCTGGCCCGGAAAAACTCCGCATTGCCTAAAAGACGAGGAAGAGGACAAACAAAAAATGTTGGAAGGAATTAGTACGAGTAAATCATTTTAACCTCCTGCAATGGAAAATAATGGAATAGCAGATTGGAAAAACAAAAATTGGTGAGGAGAAGCTGTAGAAATGGAATCGGCAACCTTTTCCAAAAATGAGTATTACCAAGTGATAATAAAAAAATGTACATTGTGCTTAGTTCCAAAACAGGCGACAAACGCTTATTGTAATTGACAGAACCACTAGCGGATCCAGGATTTAATTTTGGGGGGATTCAGCCCGGAAGTTTTTTTTTTTTTTCATATATATAAAGATAATTACTTTGGAAAAACAGAAAGATAGTAGCTATCAATATGATATCGTGTTGAAGTGATTCTTGAAGTCCTATTATATGTGATTAAACGATCAATAATACTTTAAGACATAATTTTTTAATATTTTTTACCATAAAACATGGTTACATTTTACCATTTTGGAAGGGGCTTCAGCCCGAAAGCCCCTCCCCCCCCCCCGTAAATCCGCCTGTGGACAGAACCATTCAAGATCTAAGACTTAAAATCAATTCCGGGGCTAAAATAATGAGCTATGACAGAAACATCTTAGAGAAAACTTAAAATTACAATATATGTTTCATTACCTTTGCAGCTTGGTTATTTTTCCACTTGAATAATTATCAAAAACTTAATTCGTAATCGATTTAATACTGCCACCTTCTTGCGGCCGGTAAGAACGTTTTTTGACACAAAAATAGTTTCCTCCAAAATTGTATAACCTCATCGAAATTTTGACAAGTAGCGCAACCACCTTTTGGGCATCTCCAATGATCTCAACCTCATCTCCTTCCGGCTTTTTTATTCTTGTATTCACCGTTGCCGACTTATCTGTATTCTCCTCAAATTGTTGATAGAAAAATAAGATCTCCTATTCGCAGGCAATAGAACAACTATTTCAACAACAGAACAGGCCTATGTGTACTGGGACTATGCAACCCCTGGAATCTTGAAAGGTTAACTTCCATGGGTTCAACAACCGTTTGGTGCGTTCAAGAAACTAATAACTCATGGATGGCACCACATAGTGATGTCCAAGAGGGTTCACCGCAACTTAATCTCCCGCCCTCATCTCCTAGCCCAGCAATACCTTGTATAGCCTAAAAGGGGAGGAAGGGAGGAACTTAAGATCAATCAACATAAATATATGAATGTCACCACATTGTCATGACCTGCTACTACAGCTTTCTGAAACTGTTAGGCAGGAGGCAGAATCAAGAAAGAAAGTAATAAAGGAGTGAATTAGGAAATTAAAAGATTTTTATTCACAATCATTGGTTTCAAATTAATCATTGCAAAAAGAAGAAAATGGAAGGTTTAGATTTAAATAATCTAATAGATATTAAGTTACTTTTAGAAACATTTACTTTAACAATGTCAAAATTGATTTTATTGTAATTGTGTCACTTTCTTTTCTCTCTCAAAAAAGGTAGTAATCTGGAATACATGGAGTCCGATTGCAAGTTCAGCATTATATGCCTATCCCTCCTGGAATTCCAGTACAATAGCCCTTTTGAATAATTGGGGATGTATCACTTTCTTGATATTCATTGTTCCTTGTTGCTGGTTTCTTAATACTAAAGGTGAGACAATGTGTATATATATTTAAAATATATTTTATATTGTTTAATAGAATAAGGTTTACTATACAAAAACAATTTCATACCTTGATTTATTTCTCCTTTTAAAAAAGTAGTTTTATCCCCAACAATTTATTATCAACATACCAGGACTTTAACTATATATTATACAAAAGTAAACAGAGTCCATCATACAAGTGTGAATATTACCTGAAATAAAATCCATTATCTTGTGCTTATAGAGGACCAGTAAACAAAAAATAGATTACAAACATTTAACAAATAACATTAGCAAACAATATTGAACTATAGTTATATCCAACAGCTAATATACTTAGTACTTAACCATGCAGACTTTTGATACAAAACTCCTCGTTTAACAAGATACTGTTACACTTCACCATCCTAAACAAAGATAATAAACACACGAGGCAGACAGACCCATACCTTCACAGCTTATGATTTATTGTATATTCATAAACTGTATATTTACATGGATTGCAAAAAAACATAATTTTAAAAATTACACAAAAAAAGAACATTATACATTACACACAAAATGCTTACTGAATCTAAGAATTATTTTTTTAAATTAATCAAAAATATTGAGATGACTACACAGCCTAATCATGGGAACTATATCCAGTTAATATATTAGAGGTGATAGCTCTGCAGGGAACAAAATGGATGAAATTGTTGTGCTTAGTAGAGAACTAATCCTTCGTAAGTACTAAACATCCAAGAGGTAGACCTAAATGAATGTGGAAATATTGCGCTTAGACTGATTTTGAATAGACTGGTTTGGATAGTGAGCAATAAATGTAAGTAGGTAGACAGGATTGGTAGTATAGGCATGAAACCTTTCGGTCTGTTAAATCTTTTGTTGTTATTAATCAAAAATACTGGGTACAGCCAATAGACTGATGCAAAGAGTAGATAACTTTTTTAGCATTAATTTTAGTCTCCTTTCAGAATTCTAAAAAACATTGTTATGATAGACCACATCCTGTCATAACTATTTTACATTTCCTCTTTAATAATTTTATTCGGAATTTCTTTTTTCTTCACTTTTCAAAAATAAATTTAATAATTTATCAATGTTTAAAAAACTCAATTATAAATTATTAAATTTAAAACTATTCTCACCACTCACCTCCAAAAAAACTCTTAAAAAGAATACTTTGCCCCAAAATCTTACTGATCTTATTAAATCCAAATGCCAATCTAGAACCCTCTGGCAAAGAACCAGGCATCCTGATGATCAGAAATTAGATCCTAATCCTAAAATTGCTACCTTTCTCTCTACTAATGACAAATCCCTTTGGAAAGTGATCAAAAAAATACTTAAATACCGCTCTATTTCCCATTGGACGTAGCACAAGCTTTCGAGTGGGCGTGGCAGGATGGCCTATTTTTCAAGCTCAAAACTCATTTACCTCAATCCTTGTACCAATCCTCAAATCATTCCTTTCAAGTCCGCTGCAGCACTGAATTCTCCGATTATTATCTTGTTAAAGATGGTGTTCCACAAGGCCCAGTTCTCTACATCCTTTTCACAGCTGACATTCCAACCCATCGAGTAATACCCTTTTTTTTTAAAATATTTTTTTGATAATACGTCACTAGAGTCCTGGCAATAGCCAGCTTCTCCACTGGACTCCCATCCCAATGATGGGAGAAGCGCTGAGATCTCTTGGAGTCTTGCCTTATCCTCCTCACATGGGGGAAAGGGCCCGACTTGGAGCTCCCTCTAAAGCTGGCTGTAAATATTGTAAATAAGTATGAATGTTTTTTAATATTTTTATTTAATGTTGTCTCAAGTTTCATTTCTTCTGTTTTACTAAGTTTTCTTTTGTTATAATTTTTCTACTGTTTTTGGTATTGTATATATGGTATGAATGAATCTCGCACATCTCAAATACTCAAATACCAAGATATTGGTCCCTTCCAGTCTGTTCTCTGTTATCTGTTCTCTAACTTCTCAGATCAACTCATCTTTCTCCCATTGAAATATTGTATATAATTCTTTCTATTTTAAAATATTAAAATACTATTCCTTATATTAAAATATGCAACTACTCATAAAAAAAAAAAAAAAAAAAAAGTGTTATGTTAAATTTGTTTTCTATTTCATTTCATTTTTTTTTTTTAAATACAAATGTTCCTTTAGGACTTTTTTAATTACTGATTTTATTTGTTTTTTAGGACTGAAACCATCATTTACATTATCCACCGCTATGTCCACCATCGGCACTGGAATACGTTTATTACCAGTTGAAGAATCCTATTTCACAATGCAAGTTAATTTATCATTTTATGGTTATTTTTACCTTTAATTTGTGTACCAGTGGTATGTCTGCTACCTTATCAATCTTAGAAACAGTAATTAACTATTTTTTGGTAAATAGTCTGAACTTTAGGAATGAAAATGCTAGGTCTAACTTTAGTTTGTATATATTTCTTATAACCAATGTGGTTTTCTATAACATCTGTAGACATTAATATTAAGTACTTTCTATATTCTCCATTTAAATTCCATTCCAATAACTCTGCTTTTTACTTAGATATGATTTACTGTTTGATATAAATTCAACATTAAATTATATTAGTTTAAATCTGAGCCTTTCTATAAATTTCTCAAATGTTTTTGTGAACAAAATAAATTAAAATAATAAAAAGAAGCTTTCTATGATAAAAATATTTTACCAAACAAAAATAAATAAATAAAATAATATTAAATTAAATAAAAAATTATAAGTATGGAGAATTGGTTCAAAGGATTGATTAGAAAAAAAATATGGAACAGATAATCTAGTTAAATTAACTCTATTTCATAACATTTTTAATCATTAACTCCTGATGTCAATGCAACAGTATGAAGTAGACAAGTGTAAAAATCAGTAAGTAATTGAAAATGTATAAATTTATAGACATAATTATATAATATAAACAATTAAAATTAAGATATGGAATATACTTAATACTTCTTGACATAGATACATCTAATAAAAAAAGAGACTAATAGGCTAATTTTATCTCCTTTTTAGCAAAACTACGATTTTTTCCAGGATATTTAATGATTGCCTACGTTTTGATCTAAGTTATGTCTTCATTAGAGCTGTACAGTAGTTTCGAAAAATGGGAGACTTATGACTGAAGAACATTTTTCAACTTGGTTGTTTAAGTTTTGATAGGGTTTCAGCCATTTTTTCTTCTTTTTTACCTATCTTTTTCTAAATCAGGCACCCTGAGCACAATAGTACCTTTACGCATTTGTCTATGGGCTGCAAATCAATAAGACTATAACACTTTTTATGTAACGTGCCTAAAGTTAATATATCTGAAATTTTTCTCTACCAAGATTAACCAGAAAAACTCCAAACCTTAAAGGATGTTGCATTATTTTAGTCAATATTCAACTGTGTATGTTTGCTTTTAGACTTAGAACAGCTAATAATATTGCTTCTGGGTGGAAGTCATACTTTCTCTGTCTAAAATCCTTAGTTATTTTGTTTCATAAGGAATAGGAAGTATAATAATAGATTTTTAATTCTAGTTTAAAAAATATTTCCAATTTCTCCAAATGTAAGTCAAACAGAACAATTTTATGGCTGAAAATTACAAATATTTGTGATACTTTGCTTACTTGATTCACTTTGCATCTATTTTATGCATCATAGCTGTCTTAATCATTTAAATTATTTTTAATATTTGCTAGTAGCAGTAACTTATAAAATCATTATTTTCATTGGTTTATCCCAAACATTAATTATTTCAGAATTGCTCATTTGGGAGCTATATTTAATGCTGTGGGTGGAGTGTCTTTAAGTCCTGCTATTCTGTTACTATCTTCAACTTGGTTTCCACCCAATGAAAGAACTACTGCAACAGGTAAACTGTTCATAGCGAGATAGATAATAAGTATGTTAGGTATTTTAATATTATAGTATATTTCTCATTATCTGACAATAAAGACTTTAATTTAATTGTACTGTAATAAATGTCTATTTTTGATTCAAGAATTAATACCCAGTATCCTAGCTCAAAAGACTTGGTTAGTCACCAAGTTTAGCTTCAAGAGTATATAAAGTAGTGGGTCATTTTGCTGCAAACCCTTCTTTTTCAAAAAAACAGTTTATTTCCTTACCGAGAAGGTTTGGGATAGGCTTAGTTTCTAGTGTATGTTGTCTACTAAAATAATCTATTACTAAAGAATAAATGACGGTTAGATATAAATGTTTTAAATTAAGATTATTTTTAAATATACAAAATTCTTTTTCCATGTCGATAATAAACAATATTATAGATATTAAGGAATTAATTTTGAAACAATTCATTCCCATGTATCTACCAAATCTAGAAGAAATAAAACCAACTACATATAAAAGAGAAAATAAAAGCAGGAGCATTTCCATTATGTTATAAAATAATATTTCACTTTACTTGGGTGACCTAATTTTTAAAATTTGGAATCGGAACATAGATCTTTAAGAAACATAGATAACTTCATTTAGAATAGATATTAACTACAGATTTGCCTAAGCAAAATATGTTTGAGTTTAAATAGAACATTTTAATTATTGCAAGACAGACAATTGAACCAAGTAACAACGAGACCTGTTCCTGACCTGTGTAGACTAAAGCAGATATAATTGTTTAAAAAATGCTGCTTTTAAACTAGTCTTGTGTCAATGAATGAATATTTTAAAAATATTGGGTTTTTACTGGGGCAAAAATGTACAAAACAAAATTGATTAGATTTATTTAAGAGGCTGAACACATTTTCAGTCATAATGCCAAGAAGTTATTAGTGATAATGATTTAATAGTGTCAATTTATTCTTAATGACATATCTAAGATAAATAATAAACAAACTAAAAATGGTTGTTAATGCTAAAAATGATAAATATAAAAATTATTAAGATCATTACGATCAATTTAAAAATATTTTGTTGATTTATGGTTTTAGGTATTGGCACTACTATGTCATCATTTGGAATTGCTGTTAGCTATATTATAGGACCTTCAATAGTGTCAGAGACAACAGAAACAGAGACATCAGTGGAAGAAATATTCCGTCATAGAAGAAATATAAAGAGGGAAATAACTTTTCTGTGTCTAATTGGTAATAAAAACAATTTAATTAATCTTAATTTATGAGAAAAATTATAATAAACTTGTCAACTAAGATAATAACTTTAGTTTCTATGCATAAATGTTATAAAAACCATGGATTTTAAATGAATTAGTAAAAAGTTTTGATTTGATAGTACAAGTATTTCAAATCAAATTGGGCCTTAAAAAAAAAACTTCAATTTTTTTTTTTTTTTTTTTGTCTTAACATCATGCTGAAGGTCCATAGATGATTATTAAAGTTTTAACATTTTATCTTTTACCTGATAAAATTAATTAGAACTTATTTTTTAGGATTTGTTACCGAACTACTACTTCTATTTCTGGTTGTGTTTTTCTTTCCTGAAAGGCCTTCACAGCCACCAAGTAGATCTTCAATTTTAAAAAATTTACAGCCTGCAGAAGGAATGTTAAGTGCCTTGAAAGAACTAACAAAGTAATTATTTGAACAAATATTATTATTTCATTGATATAATATTTAAAGAAATTTCTAATATTAGTACTACACCTTTGTGGGAAATAAATTAGTTTTTTTTGTATTTTTATATAGCTATCAAAGATTAGAATTAATAACATAACCTTAATGTAAGTCATTCGGTAGTATGATATGAAAGATGAATAACATCACTAGATATCAAATTGTGAAGAATTCACTTCACTTCTACTTTTTAAGGTGAAGCATCTCGTAAGCTTTTTGTTGCTTTATCATCTCTTCTGCTGAATATAATGTAACCGATATTGGTAACCCATCTTATGTCCACTTTTTTTATAAATTTTGCTTTTTGAACATAGAGTATTGCTTTGGAAGTGAACTATAGTTACACTATCATCCTAATATGAAGTAAGAGTGGTTTATTTTGTTTTTCTATATATACAAATCTATGAATCAAGACAGACATAAAAGAAAGATCTAATCTTAGAATAATTACAAATTTACAAAAACTAGACACAACTTCCAAACTTTAATAATCTAAGGTGGATGTACCAGTGATAGACACCGTAATTTTTCAACAATAATGTGAATCACAACTTAAGCTCTGATGGTGGATCTTTGCAAATGGGTTTAATTGACAGCAAATTTAGTGTTTTACTAATTTTGTTTGCTCTTTTGTTAATCAGTCAGTTTATTATTCATGAAAATGTTAGGAAATTCTGACAGCGTATATTGCACCTGTAATAGACACTCAGGGATCGACTTATTTTTTATATAAATAAAAAAAAAATTCTCCGCAGCTCTAAAAAAGAAAATGGCAAACTACAGATGAATAAATCAAAAATTCAAACCTATCTCCTAAAGAAAAGTGATAAGGAAAGCTCTGTAAAACATCCATCATTAATAGGCAAACACAATCGGTTCAGCCCCTTTTACTCCTCTACTATTCAAACGATTTTCTTCCTTCTTTTTTTGTTTAATAGATATTGACGAGCTTTAGTTTTATCAATAAATAAAAATATTAGAGCACGTTCATTTAAAATATTGAAATTTATATTTTCAATGGCAATGGACATGGCTATGCACTAAACAATAACAGAACTTTCAAAAAGAACATTATTTACATAGAAGTTATGAATAAAGATGAATTTAAAGTGAATTTAAATTTATTTTTTACTTGCTTAATCATAACATTAATTTATTGTGATAATAACACACATAAATTAAAATGAAAATTAAATATTTTTGAATGAGTATATTTTGTATTACTTTTAAATAATTTTAAATGTCTTAAGCTCGATTTTTAAATGAAATTGAAATTTTGTTTGTATTAATAAATGAGAATTTTTGAATCGTGATTTACTCTTTATTTATTTACTTTATATTTTATTTAATTATATCTTTTCCTCAAATTTTTAATAGCTATGGTTGAATTTCGACCACTGGGCGAACAATAGTATTTTTTACTTGACTTCCCTTCAGAACATTTTTTATAGGGGTAACACGGTGGCAATGGATAATCAGTTTTATTTAAACCTGCGTTACCACAGATCCCCTCCTACCTCTACTATGCTCTTTTAAACTCTTTACTATTCATAACTCTATTAGAATTATCCTCTAACTTGTATATTTTAGAAATTTTCAATGAAATCAATTCCTTTTGTTTTCAGAAAATGCAACTTTTGGACTTTGGCACTGTCAGCATCCATGTTATCCGGAATTACTGGACCATGGCTTTCATTGCTAACTATTATATTTGATAATACTGGAATAACACAAGTGTGTATTATATGCAAACTCTATGAATTTATTTTTGTTAAGGTCCTGGAGAAGTTTTAGTATTCTTACCACTGTGTGTTGAGGAAAATCACTTTATTATTTCTTAATCATTAATTGTCTAAGTGAAGTATATATTTTAATAAAGTAAATAGTTTTTAAAGAATAAATAAATATAATTTTAATGGTGGTAACACAGACTAATGAGCAACATAGGCATGCTTAGCTTGGGTCCATTCGCTTCTAGGGTGTCCATAATAAGATTTTGATTGCTTTGTTATTATACCCATTTGTTATAATACCCCAAAATTCCATAACACTGCACTATCTCATCTATTTATTTTAGAAAAAATCATTTGTAAATTCTTTTCACACAGTTAAAACAAAATCAATGGTCAACTTATTGTACTGAAAGTGATACTAAACCAAAACTTCCCATAGTAACCATGCTTTATTTCTCATGGTTCACTTAGATAATTTATCTTGAATTAATAATTTAGAAATTTAATATTTAAAGATCATTAGATGTATTTAAAGCAACAAATATTTGAAGTAAAGGTTATAATAAGAATAGCGTATCATTGAGCATCTAATCCCCTTATTGCAGTATTTGAAATGTGAAATATTTTTTTATATAAGAAATTTCACCCAAATTACATGGACATGGTATCAAATTTATAATCAGAAAGCCAACTTTATTATTATGGTCAGAAATTTCAGTTATATCAATACTGTGACATTAATTATCAATCAATAGAATAACCAGTTTTTTTTAACGATAGACATTCTCTAAAAGAACAAATTTTCTTCAAACCAAATGTTACAACCAATACTCTATTTTCAAAAATCCAAGGTTAGAGGAAACTACCCCAGTGGTTTTTGAAATTTGGTTGTAACATTTTCCATAGAAAATTACTAGATTTGCCTCAGCATTTAAAAGATTCAAGGGAAGAGAAACTGTTGAGGAAGGTATAGGGTAAATTTTTTTTCCCTACAATTAGAGAAATTTTTGGATTGATTGGATGCAGGAAGGATATACCAAACCACAAATCCCATTCTAATAAGGGTCTTCTAAAGGAGAAAATTTACCATACCAAGTCAGGAATCAAATTATTTTATTTGAAAATAGTAAACCAGAACTCTACCAAATGAGAAATACCTCACTCCACAAAATATTAATCAAAAAAACTACCTCTACAACCCATTAAGGGTTTTGAGTTGAGTTCACTACTTACTAAGCAAGTTCTGTTTGACTAATCAAAGGTTATACAAGGAAATGATTTTACAGATCATGCTTAACCACAAGGCTTTTTCACTTAATTAATTATTTAATGAAGAATATCCACTTGACAGAGACTGAATGTTATGATTCAATGGACTAATTAAATAAATTTAAATAGCTAAAACAGTTAAATCCTTTAGAAATAAGTTTCTATTGTAAATCAAACTTATTTTCTGAAGAAATATTGGAATTAGAAGCATTAATTTACTTAAGAAAATCTTAAATAAAAAATAAAATTATTAAATCTATTTATTATTATTTATTCTCTCATTAGCAATATTTTTGAACTAATCATAAACCAAAACTAAATGAAATAATAATAATAAAAGGGAAGTATTTTAATCATGAAATAACTAATTCTAACTATTTGAGAAGTAGGGTGGCCCTAACCCTAAATGGAATCAATAGTATAGGGGGGGTACATTTTGAGGTCTCAAGTACCCAGCATTTACAACCATTTATAAAGGTGTAGTTCTGGGTATTTTGAGATACTTGTCCTCTCTGGCGATGGGTAACAACTACGAAAGGAAGTACTCTGAGGAAATATTTTCCTACCATCGGTTCCTGGTTAGCAGCAAAATGGGTAGAATCTGATTATTGGGTCTCCCTATTACTCAATGGAAACGGCGGCTTCTCAGCAAAATTTTTTCAACTTAGAAAGAATATCGACTCCTTGTGCACCAGTTGGGGAGTACCAGAGACTGCCCAGCAAATAGATGCAGCCTGTACTGCCTATGAGGTACTGAGAGCCAAACTGTTCCGGTCTCTACATTTTGACAGAAAGCGATTTCCCTCAGCTAATGATTGCGGAAAACTATCTGAAGTTCAAAGAATTTCTATCAGGATGGAAATCAATTATATACCCGATTCATTTCTCCTAGGGAACAAGAAGAAGTACAACACCTTGAAGGAGTCAGGTCATGCCAACTGTCATGAAAACTGTATTATTGTTTTTCTGACAGCAGTGTGATACTGCGCATACTTGCGCAACATCTCATTGCTGCCAAAACCCGTATTGCCCATCAGGCAGGCTAGGGATATAAATAAATATGAGAAGGAGTTGGTCGGGAAATGCGGTCAAAAAAATACTAAATTTTTAAAAAATTGTATTTTTAATTGTTTTATTTTTTTTTAATTTATTATTTATTTGACCTCACCTTCCTCCTCCCTGAGGATCTTTCGTTGAAACTTTTCAATAAACTTCTATACAATATTATTGTAAAATAGCAATTTTAATTTACTTTTATTATTTACAGAATGAAACTGCGAGTCTTGGGTTTTGGACTATTGTATGTAGCTGTTGTTTAGCATTATCAGTCAGTAAGGTGTCTGATTTCTGTCCAAGGCGTATCAGATACATATTATTAGTCTTAGTAGCAATGGGAGATGTAATGTTCTTTTGGATTTTATTAATGACTACTCATAAAGTGAGATATGTTAGAGGTAAGATATCTAGTTGTTTCTTTTTTAATGTAATTTTATTTATATTTTGTTAATTATTTCTACCCTTCGATTTAATTTATCCTTTTTATCAAATTATAATAATTTAGAAAAAGAAGCATTTTGCTATTAGAGCTTATTTTATATTAATTCAACCCTTATTCAAACATCCACCTCATATGCAGGTAACCCTTCATCATTTGTTTACTAAAAAAAAAAACCTTGATCTACGGTTGTGCAAGAAGGTGATTTGACCGAGATCATGCTCAACATTTGTTTACTAGGTGGTGGATATTTGTTATTTTTTACCTGAGATCTATATGGGTCTCAGCCATTTATTAACTTTCTGTGCAGTTAGTTGTTCTGCATTTAGAGAAACAATTTCTAGAATCTAGGAATGTTTGCATCTCAGACAAACAATCTTTTAGAGGTAAGTAAATCTATCAAATCCATAAGCAGATATTCCTTTTAGTCAATTTTTTTTCTTGTACACATATTGTAATTGTCATAAAGTAATTTGTGTCCATTTTTATATATTATATTAGTTAATTCAATTTTATTGATATTTTATCCTAAATAATTGGTAATGAATATGAATGGTATTTAAGGAGGGAAATGGTAACAGGGCATAACAATGTAAAACTGTACTGGTGTAGAACCAGATTCAGAAAATTTCCTATATAATGTTCCAGTAGTAGACCATATTGAGCATTCAGATCTTGATTCTGTATCTAAATTATGAGGAAAAATATAGAAAATGCTCCAAGTGCCACTTATGTTTTAGGAATATTAAACGTCCTTCCCATCTCTTTAAATTCACTTATAGGACTTCTTCGACACGCGGTGTTTTTGCAAAGTTTAATTGTTTTGTAAATTTGGAAGTAGCAGGACTATAAGTTCTAAGAATTTATGTGTCATTCTTTCAGTTGATGGAGATATGGAAGAGAAGAATAAACGCATAACTAAAAGCTATGTATTAGGAGGTTGATGATGAACCAACACATCAAACTAGGAAGGTAATGTTGAGCCAGTCATGAGAGGATGGGAGAGGAAGAGATTCCTACCAATGAATTCTGGAAGCTAAGGTTCAAAGTTTGTTATACTGGCAGACCATGGCTTCCCTAGGAATAATGCGTCGCTTCAGTGGGCGGGGTAGCCGAATGGACTAACGCGTGTGCACAGCACCGCCGTTGCCCGGCAACCTGATATATCAATCAAATGAAATAAAACAGTCACGAGTTAGCCTCCCAGTGCCGAGGGAGTCTTTTAAATCCCCGCCCACACTCCCTGGCCCGGGAAAACCCCATATAACCTTAACGGCGAGGAAGGGGAGGGAAAAAAAAAAAAAATGTGTCGCTTCAGATGGCTGAACCTTATTTGATGTCTGTAACTGGTCATTGAGAACTGGAAATTGATCAAAAGCAGCATCCAATTGCTCTATTTTGTGGGTTGTGAAGCTACTAGGAAAATATGTCATTTTGAAAATTATTTTATTTTGATGGTTTTTTGGACCTGTCTAAACTTAACAATTAATGATTAAAAATTTCTGTACCAAAAAATATTGCTAATGCTGCCTAATAACTTCTTATTTGTTTATCAAACTTTGAAAATTACTAATTAATTAAAAAATTAATCTCTATGAATTTTAGCAATTATTTCATTCATCAAAAGATAGAAGTACAATAAAATCATAATGCTGCTCAACTGTGTCAAGTAGCTAACTGACACTGCATAGTGGTCCATCTGATTGAATATCTAGTAAAAGAATACAGAAAGGATAAAGTTTTATGGGACTATTATCATAAATACCAAATGTTCGGATATAAAAATGTGATTTGTTATTGTTTTCTTTCTCACCTCATTCTCAATTCTATCCCAAGGCTCCATAAAGCAATGGCCCTAATTAATAGAGGTAATGATGCAGGATTCCCAGTGAGTCGAAAACAATGGATTCTGTCATACCCTGTTTCTCATTCTTTTTAATACCCAGCTTTTTCAAAAAAAAAAATAGCAGTTATTTATATCTCAACTAAGTCAAGCTATCTGAAAGTGTGATCAATCCTATTCTTTTCTGTAATTTCCTAACAAATGACCTTTTTTGAAACCTATGTTGAAAATTATTATCTATGTTACACCAGATGGTTATGATTGTTCTTCATAGATTTGTGAACAATATATATTACAGCCTGGTTAGACTTGAATGATGACTTTTATGTTATTAAGATAAACTTTATGTTAAAATTTCTGCATGGTTAATGCTACTTAATTTTAACTATTTAAGAGCAGAGACAAAAAAAGTTCTACAAAAATCTTAAGCGTGAATAAGAGAGAGAAATCCTTATTATTTTATTTTTTATCCTTTAGAACATAGCCTGGCTTTTGTAGAAAACTATTCTTTTATCAGCCTTGGAATGACTTCTAGGTCTTCTAGTTTGAATTAAGTAACTTTCAATGGGTTGGGGAAAAAATCTAACACTAAAGGATGAATACTGATGGTTTTCAAAACCATCTGAAAACATCTGTCTATGATTGTTGATAAAGAAACAGTATTGCCATATAAAGTATTGAATCCAAGATGTCTCCTATATATTTTCTGCTGCCAGTGAACAATATGTAATCAATGTTATAGTTGCTGATTTTGTAAAGCTCGTTGTTATGATTTTGAACTAATGACAAAAATTTATTTAAATTAATCGATTATTTGAGAAACTTCATATAGAGCTCGATGTGGAAAATTCTGAACACAAAGCCTTGATCGATTGATTAAAAGCAAAGATCGAATAATGAGGGTAACAATTTACTTGTCAAAATTTAGTCCTGATTGTGCCTGAACAAAGTGTTGGCAGTTTAGTTGGTTACACACATTTTAGAAACTCAAAGGTCTGTGTTGGGGAATTTTCTGATTATATCCTTACAGTTAATTTATTTATCATTATTATGCTTTTACTCTTTTACATTAATTGTAAATCATTTTTGACAAGAAACCTTAACTCTGTAATATTTTTAATCATACTGCTTCTTGTCACTGAATTGAGAGTTTTTTGACAGAGCTTGAAATGGAAAAGTTTTATTTTATTTTTAAATTAAATTTTATTTTTAAAAAATTCTATCGGAACTGGAACTTTTTCCATTACAACTTATCAAGTATAGGTTTTACAGAACTTTATTTTTTTTTTACTTTTATTTATAAGTTCTGTCGATTTCCCTAAAATTTAGATCTAAAAACTTACTTTTGTTCATAACTGCTCAAACAAACATCACATCAAATTCATGTGTAATTCATTTAAGACAAACTATAACTCTAATCTAAGCCTAATAATTGTTTATTTTTCATTTAACGGAACTTTTTTTAAGAACTGGGGTCAATAAAAGTTAAACTTTTACCATAAAGTTTCTTAGAAATTTTATTTTAAGAACTTTTTTTCTAAAATGTTTCACATAAACTGTTAAAATGAAACTTTTAAAAAAAATTCCATAAAAGTTTCAACCCCTGGTTTTGAAGGTTCTAGCTCACTGCAAAATGTATTTTTCTCAGAACATGGACAAAGTATATTTAAGATATGAAGCTTCTCATTTACTCTAATTTTAGACAGTTAGTGAAAAAAATTTTTATCTGTCATACTTATTTTCAGAAACTCTGGCACTTGCTGTAATTACCGGCCTATCTCTAGTTTGGGCAGCTCCGCCATTATTTTATGAATTTGGAGCAGAGATAACTTATCCAATTTCTGAAGGCATAATTGGTGGTAGTATGATGGCTCTCAACAATGCTGTTGCTTGTTGTGTATATCTTCAACTATATATATTTCCCCATATGAGTTAGTATTTTATGAATCATTAATAATAATATCCCATTATTGTTACATCAGTATTTAGGAAATAGGTTAAGCATAACTCATTGTATTTTCCTCTTGAGTCATTAAAAAGTCTGGTCCTTACTGTGACGGGATAGATTGTAGTTCTCCGTGAAATATCCCAACTCAGAGTTAATCTAAGACTGATTGAATAGAAAATAAGTTTTATTTTTGATATCCTTGATTCAAAACTGGTTCAAGACTGATAACAAAGTAAAGTTTGAACTGGCCGTAACAATACTAGTAAAAGTTTGGGAGCCATTAAACAATAAAAAAATTTGTTACTTGAAGTCGTTAAAAAAAATAATAATAATTGGGGGCCGGTAAATCAGAGTGATCACTATACTAGTAAATTAAAAATGTTATCGCATCCCTGCCCTTACATCCCACAACGGTTGGTCCCCGGGTGAAGTTAGACCATACCCCCTTAATTAGGGGAGGCCTACAAGTTGTAAGACTTGTATGAACAGATTGGTAAAAAAAAAGTTAAAATTAAAGACCTATATTAAACATTTACTGAGGGTAATCTCAATAAATGTTAAGAAAACATGTTAAATATTTTTTAGAATGTGAAATATTTGTACCCCAGAGATAAATAACACCATATCAATTTTTTTATTTAGACAGAGAAGCTAATGTTCCATTTCTTCGAGCTATTAAAATTTGTTTCTTAGTAACTAAATCTGTACCCCGGAAGAAGGGAACACCATGTCACATTTTTAAAATTGTTTGGGGAGCCAATTTTCCATAACTCTGAGCTATTAAAATGTGTTTCTTAATAACAAAATTATTTAAAGAAAAATGGACATTTTGTCTTTTACCTCTGGTGCACAGATATATTAAAACAGGTGAGGAACATAAATCCTTTATCATCTTCTTGGTTGTTGGAATTGATTTCTAATTTGATTGGGCAATAGTATATTCTGAAAGAAATCTAATCAACAAACAAAACCAAGTTCAGGTTTTTTTATCATATTATCATCTCAATTTAATAGGGGAGGATTTATGTACATTGTACATTTATGTATTTATATATATATATAAATTTGAGCCGATTGCCTTGCAAAAGAAGCAGCTAAAAGCAATTTGCCGCCATCGTATCATCAAGCTCCTTTATCGTATATTAAGATGAATTTAAAGTTGGATTTCATCAAAAGATGGGATCACATATGGGTGACCTCAGCTAAGTCACCAAGCTTACACAGATTTATACCACACATTTCAATTCACAATTACAGACACATTCACAGTAATGACTACAAACTTACACAAGTACTTACGGAACATGGGAATACAAAACAATATCTTAAAAGATTCAACATTATACAAACAGACTTATGCGATGAAGACGGACAGGTTCAAAATTTTAAACATATAATATATGAATGTAAACGATTTGACAGACAGCGATTTGAGTTAATAAAAAGCATAATTATCAAAAGAGGAAATTGGCCTGAGACGGAACAAAAGTTATTTACTGAATTCAAGACAGACTTTCTTAGATTTATTAGATCGATCGACTTCGACTTACTAACCAGGGATGGGCAGCGTGGGTGATTTCTTTTTGGCTTTGTTGGATTGACTTTGTGTGTTTAATATTTAATTTTCTGATTTAATTTTTATGTGTTTATTCTTTGTATTTTTGTTTGTTAATGTATATAAATTTTAACTAAAAATGTATATCATGTGAAACTAGAAAAAAAAAACAATTGTAAACAAATGTAATTCATGTAGTATGTCTTTAAGGCTTGGAGCATGAAGGAAAATCAAATAAACGATCCTTGTGTGGGGTTACCACGTAGGGAATTAAAAAAAAAAAAAAAAAAAAAAATATATATATATATATATATTATATATATATATATATATATATATATATATATATATAGTTATAGATATCAATTTATATATATATATATATATATATATATATATATTGATATCTATAACATATAGGAACTATTCCTTGCTTCAATATTTTTACTTTGGAATAGGGGTGCCCATCCCACCCACAAGGTCAATAGTGCATGAACCACCCCTCTCTTTCCAGAAATTTTATTAATCTTCTCTCCATATAACAGTGCAAGCGAAAGTAGAATTAAAAATTGTAGGTCTTACACAATAACACTTGCTGAGGTTTGTTCCATGCGTTTCCCCTAATCCTCTGTTTCGAAACTTTTCAATGAAAATTCATAACCCAGTCATAATGTGTCCTCAGAAATTCAAAATTCTGTCAAAATGTGACCCATTCAAGAATTTACAACTTGTACCCTGAAATCCCCTTCTGGGCACCCCTGATTTGGAACTTTATTTGATATTTATTTTTGTTTTTATTTATTTATTTTTAGATGTAGCATGGATGAATTACGCACTAGCATATTTTGGATTATTCTCTTTCATATTGCTGCTTTTTGTCAAAGATGAATATAACAGACTTGATGTTGATCGTGGTTAAAAGAAATTGATTTTTAAATAGTATGAATCAACAGTAATGTTACTTACAGTGATCTGTATATGTGCTAAATATATATTTACCAAATTGTGCTTATTTTTTTTATGTGAAACTAAAAATAATCAAAACTAACACTGCCGTGCACATAGTGAAGGCCATGTTTCTCATTTCTTCGAGGGTCATACAAAGGATTAGATTAAAAAAGTCTGAGTTCAATAAATATATAGTCATTCCCGTTGGGCTGTAATATTTTAGTACTAAGCTTATGTTTCAGAGCCTCCTGATTTCAAAAACACTTTTTCAACAGTTGAACTTAAGTTTTTTTATTTTAAGATATCACCCTTTGGTGTCTGTGTAATTTGCACCCTAATTTGGTGTCTATGTAAATTGCACCCTACGCAATTTGGTGTCAACGTAATTTGCAGGCCTGCACAATGTCAAAATGGTTGCAAGGATTTTGATGAAACCTTCATAAATTGATCAATCCATTTGAAAGAACCCAATTTAAATTAATTTCTCAACATTTTTGATTTTATAATTTTTTACCAGTTATTTCATATTTATTTGAGAGTTTAAAACCATAGTTAAACAAATTGATATATATAAAATGAAAATAAACATAAACCAAGACTTTCAACGCTGCAAAAGTCTAATAAAGAAAAGTGTTAAATTTAACTTTGTAATTTAAATTTTGTAGTTCTACCACTGTACTTCATACTGATGAAATTTCAATCTTGAAAGCCTTGTTCTTTTTTAAATATGAATTTTCAGAAAAGGAATAACGGCGATCTGGGTGCTACAGGTACACCCAATAATTAGGACTGCTCTGAGGAACATCGCAAGAGCCGATCTTGATGGAGCCTGACCATCAGGACTCCTTAATCTGCCTGAGGTGCCAGGACTACGGCCACCCCGCAAAGTCCTGCAAGAAGGAATTGGCGTGCAGATGGTGCACGGCGTCCGGGCAGAAGGCCACAGAATGTCCAGAAAGTCAAATAAAAGTACCACCATGCTGCCGGAACTGTAAGACGCTAGGTAGAAAGGAGGGAGATTTCCAGCACTGTGCGGGCAGCTGGGAGTGCCAGATACACCTGGAGATGATATGCAGGCGAAACTAACTAGGTATGGATAAGCTCAACCTGGATTGAAGACGAGTAGTCGCGGACGAACTGAGAGCTCTCGCCCTAGGAATCGACATGGTTATCCAGGAACCATCGTGTCGAAACAACGTGGTCGTAGGGGTTGGTGTTAGGTCAAGGATGGTCGCTTTGGGCAGTGGAGAGAGGAGGCCCAGAGCGGCGATAGTGATAGTGAAACTCGCCCTCGACGTAATGGAACTGAAGAATTTCACCACGGCGGACCAGGCGGCATGTTACGTTAAATGGAGTAGAATATCCTTCGCCCTAGTCTCCTCATACATGCCGTCTGGACAGGTAGACATGGAAGAGAATATCACTGCCGTGGAGGCTATCGTACAGCGATACAGAAGTACGATAGTCTGTTCCGACACCAACTCTTGGAGCACGGCCTGGGGTTCGGTCTGCACGAATGCCAGAGGAAGAGCGGCAGAGGAACTCGGGGCGAGATGTCAACTGGTCGTGATGACCGAGCTCTCTGGACCCACATTTGTTGGAACAAGGGACCAGAATCATATCGACGTGACACTCGCCATGGTGATGGATAGTTATGGCAAGGAGGGTGGCTGATTGGATCCTACGGTCTGACACGAGCTCCGACCTCCCACTGGGTCATAGCCTTTAGTGTCGTGGAGTTGGAAGGCAGAGTCCCCATGTGCGAGAGGATCTTCGTGACCCGATCGGCAGACTGTAGTGCCTACTCCAGTATACAGGAGGGAATAATGGAGGAGAGGGTGCCCGTTGAGGAAACGGTGGACATCGACGAGCGGATGGTGAACCTAATGGACGCCATTACGGAAGCAGCGGAAAATTCCCTCCAGCGCCGAAGGGCGAGAGCGCGTTCGGTCTCATGGTGGACACCAACCCTGACACAGCTGAAGCGAGACTACAACAGAGCTAGGCGTAGGTGCCAAGAGTGCAGAGATGAGGAAAGAAGACCTGCACTCCGAGAAGAGGCGAAGCATAGGTATAGGGCATACCGAAACGGCGTGCGTCTCCAGAAGAAGAAATCCTGGGAGGAGTTCATAGTACAGGAGTCGGAGAAGAATCCCTGGGGCATGCCATACAGGTTGGCACTGGGCAAAGTAAGGCAACAGCAGATGATGCCTGCCATCAGAGTGGCTGGAGCCCAGTCCGCCACCCTCGAGGAATCTGCAGCGATATATATAGACTACACGTTCCCTAGGGATGACCCGTCCCAGTATAGCGAAGCTGATAGTATGGTGAGACGTCATACCCGCCTGGTACTGACCTATGCCCACCATGGGACATTTGGGATCTTTGTCTGGCCGTGGAGAAACAGAGGATCGACCGAGCTCCAGGACTTGACGGCATAGACTGCAATCCTCAAGAAAAGTGACCTTAGTCACAGGATCGTCAGGATTAGGGGTCACTACTACGACGTCGAGAGGAGGGGTTGTCCGCAGACCTCAATCCTGGGTCCATCTCTGTGGAAGCACGTTTTTAACCAGTTGCTGGGGGAACTGGAAAATAGGAGTTTCCTTGCAACGGCCTACATCGACGACCTGGCGGTAATCGTGGCTGAGAAAAGCAGAGCCAGATTAAAGACTGAAGCGGAGAAGTGTTCCAGCCTAGTATCAGAGTGGTGCGTGAGGCGGAAACTAACTATGGCCGCTGCCAAAACGCAAGCCGCACTTATAAGAGGCTCCACGGACAAGGTTCACCCTATCAACCTGGACATCCAATGTACAAGGATCAGGTTAGGTGAGGAGGCGACATACCTAGGTGTACGAATCAGAAGGAATTTCGACGTAAATCCTAGGCTAGAATACCTAAGAGGTAGGGTGACCCTGACGATGAATGGTCTGCGAAGAATCGGGAGTGCCTTCTGGGGCCTCAGGTACCCGACAACCATGACAATAAACAAAGGAGTCATCTTGGGTATCCTGAGGTACTCATCACCCGCGTGGAGCCGAAGTCTGACGCAAAACCACAATCGACGACTGGCCACTATACAACGTCTTGCTTTGCTGGGCGCCACGAGAGCCTACGGGATGATGTCCCACGAGGCGGTGCAGGTGCTGACCGGAGCGATGCCTCTGGAACTAATTCTCAAAGAGGACGCATGGAAATTTGAGATCAAAAGGCAGGAACTGGATACGCTACCGGAGGGACTCCGAAGAATAATCGACGAGAACCCCAACCAATGGAAGAAGATTGTTAGAGAGGTATCCATCCAGGAGTGGGTCCACCTTAATTATTGAGTCGCTGCCAAAACCCCGTATGCCAGGTAGGGCGAAGAAGAAAAAAAAGTTTGGCCATGTTGCTAGAATTGCAGAGGACAGATTGGAAAAAGTTGAGATACGAAACAAAGGTGGGAGGGCAAAGACCAAGGAAAACATCGCTAGGCGCAATCCGGGAGGCCTTTGATAGAAGAGGGCTGGAATGGGGAAGGAGAAGAAGGGTGGTTGAGGACAGAGACTCTTGGATCAAGCTTTAACGAAGGTTAGAGCTCACATTGCTATGCGGTAGGAGAGGAGGAGATTAAATAAATAATTAAATAAAAATCGTGTCATTCAACCATTCAGTTTTAAAAGTCCAACAACAACTACAGATAAATACTTGACCCCCTGTAATGATTGTGTATAGACAAAAAGAAAGGTTGAGTAAGTTCCCAAATAAATCAATCTATATATTTTCAACAATGTACAACATCACGTGTTTTTACATTAATATCTAACAATAATAATAATCCATACTACTATTTCCCCCTTATTTCTGATCGCTTTCTTATATGATCAGCATGGCATTGCATTAGCTACCCGCTCGTTTCTATGTCATAAGAGAGAGGCCTTTTTTTGTTTTTAATCACGATGCCTTTTACCCATCTTTCTGTGTCCTTACGGTTTACCCAAACTTGCTCACTTTCTTCGAAACTGCGTTCTTGTCCCTTTCTATCGTGGTACATTTTTTGTTTTAGCCTGCTTTCTTCCATCTTATCTCTCACGGATGGTTTTAAACGATCCAATACTGAATGCAACCTTCTGCCAATGAACAGTTCTACTGGCGTTTTTCCTGTTAAGCTGTGTATTGTAGTAAGGTGCGCAAACAGCGTTACTCGCAATCTTTCCTGCTTATCTGTATAAGTAGTATCGTTTCGGAATCGTTTAAATGTTCTAATTGCACGTTGGACCATCCCATTTGATCGACTATGATAGGACGTTGTAAATATTTGTTTCACTATATTGTCTCTTAAAAAATTCTTGAATTCTTTTGACGCAAATTGGCTTCCATTGCCACAAGCAATTTATTTGCAAATCCCATATCTTACAAATAGCGATTCTAATATATGGATAGTTTTTCTAGCTGTAACTGATTTCATTGGAAAAATTTCTATCCGATTAGAATAGGCATCGATAACCAGGATAGTCCTTCAAATGGTCCAGTAATATCAATATGGAGTCTTTCCCAAGGTCCTTCCGGAATGTTCCAAGGGTCCAAAAATGTTTCTGGTTCACTTGGGCGATTTTTCTGACAAACCTCACAATTTTTAATTAACTTTTCTATTTCGGAATTAATTTTAGGCCGCCAAACAATCAATTTTGCTAAAGACTTAGTAGCCTCTTGTGAGGGGGGAGGGATATATTGGAGGATTGGACCTCCTGTGAACTATGACCGGTGGCAACACTGAGCTGAGAAAACCGTAGGAAGGTTCGGAAAATGGTGAAAGTTGGTACGAGTGGATGTCTCCCATGTTACACTGTACTCTGTGATAAACAAGGCTATAGAAGATACACCTTTGTTAGGATAAATCCTCACGAGCAGGTAACACATTTACGATACCTTTCACAAGCAAACTGAACTACCTTGTGTATTCAGTAATGAGGGGTCATTATCAATAACGATTTACATAGAGAAATGATATAGATGTTTCTTTTCAGTGGGGATATCTTGCTAGGTCGACAAGGAATAGGATACCTTCTGGAGGCTGACGTCT